TAAAATTCAAAAACTATCTAAGACGATTAAAAATCATGCAATTACAGGATCAGTCGCTGAATTAAAGGCTCCTTTAGGATAGTTCAATATTTAGGATGAAAATGTAATTGTCAGTTACAGTTGTGTGAAGCTGAGTGGTAACCTTGACTTAGCTGCTCTGCTGTAACTGACATCAGAGTAAGGCCCTTGGTGTTTATTTTTGGAATACTTATTAGTTATAAATCAAAAGACAAAATAGATATTGAGACAAAAATCAATGAAACTGTCTTTTTTGTGTTAAAAGTGATGTTCTAAAACAAACCTATTTGTTAAACAAATCAGTTTGAAAACATGACCTAGTTTCAGTTTGCATGTTTCTTTTAACTGTCTCGAAAAAGGCTGTTTATATAATTTTGTAAAGAAATGTGAACTGTTCTATTCCATTTACATTTCTTTGTTCCAAAATGTATTCTCTTTGTTAAGATTCCAGTCGACAAGGAAAAGCAGACATCGCGGTTACTTTGCAATTGTGAAACTTTAACCCACAAAACCCATTCAGAAAACACAAAATGAGTCACAGGAAGGGGCCACTTGCTTGCAAAACTCATTAAAAGGCAAAATGGATTTCCTGTATCAATAAATAGAGTGCTGGCAGTACACTGAACACCTGACATAGCTATAGGCTTGGAAACCATATGAAAGTGAAGCCATTAGAAAACTGAGAACTGTTAGCAACTCTCCAGGCCCCAGTTCAGCAAAGCATTTAGGCATGTTCTTAGGTTCTGATGAAGTCCAAGTATATTGTTAAATTCTTTGCTGAATTAGAGTCACAATGCCTATCCAAGCCTTTTTTGAAAACAGATTCCTGTGGTATTATGGAGCTGTATACCCTACTTCAGAGTGGTGAGCTGCTATATGGTTTTCTAATTCAATGGACAAATTAGGAGGGTATTGTACTTAACTAAGATTTAAATGTAATGGCACCTGCAACTTTCCTCGGCTGGTTGCAATACCCTCTTAGACACTCTAAAAACAGATTTGTCCTTGATCAGTTTTATCCTCTCCTACTTGGCAAACCAGACGTAAAGGGCCTGTTCACCCCTCTCTCATGCAACGGTCTCAAAGCAAAGCCTGGCACGATTTCAGGCAAAATACTTTCAGGCCAAAGCCTGAGCCCAGTGCCTGACTCGAGTAGCCAGGCTCAGGACTGAACCAATGTGCAGTGATGAGAAGGGAACATTCTACCTCTCAGGCCCCAGAGCAGTTATACAGGCACTTAGGGCTGGTCTACACTGGGGGGGGAGGGGGAAATCGATCTAAGATACGCAACTTCAGCTACGAGAATAGCGTAGCTGAAGTCGACGTATCTTAGATCGATTTACCTCGCGTCCTCACGGCGTGGGATCGATGGCCGCGGCTCCCCCGTCAACTCCGCTTCCGCCTCTCGCTCTGGTGGAGTTCCAGAGTTGACAGGGACCGCGTTCGGGGATCGATTTATCGCGTCTAGATGAGACGCGATAAATCGATCCCCGATAGATCGATTACTACCCGCCGATCTGGCGGGTAGTGAAGATGTGCCCTTAAATTGTAACCCAATGTGCCTCTCCCTGCTCCTGCACCCATTGTGCTCATGCTAGATTGAATGGCTAAAGTAGCCTTTGCAGGCCCTTCAGTAGCCCCCTCCCAAGCAGGACAAGAGGATCTTGCAGCACCATTCCCTATGTGATGCCACAGCGGGAGCCACAACAAAGCTTGGAGGGTCAGGGGAAGGAAAGGGGCAATATCCTGGGTGATCACCTACACTCAGCCCTTCCCTTGCACAGTTGAAATGCATTATGGCCAAGGAAAGCCTGGCTTTTCCTCCAAAACCACAAGGGCTGTAGTCTGCTGTATTAGACGTCAGCATCACTTATGTGCATTTACAAAGCCATATCTTTACTGTGGCTACACACGGAGAAGGCCTTTTAAAATGGTGCCCAGCTTGGGTGTACACAAGAGGGTGAGCTGAAGGCCTCATATTTCCAAGTACTTATATTTGGTCCTGAATATTGAACAAAGTAGTTTCTTGTATTTGGTTTTACATCTCCCAAGGTATTTGGTGCCATTTGCAAAGCACATTAAACACTCCAACTGTCTAGACCTATATATTTAAAGGGAAATGGTCCTTCTTCCATTGCAGCACCAGGAGGCAGTTTTAAGTGTGTAGCTCCTCTGAAAGTTTGTTACCTCAAACTTTTTATGCATCCTTTGTTCACAGGATATCTCAGGAGCAATAAATAGATCCTTACAAAGGCGAAGGTGTCATTTCTGTGATTATTAATTTAAAAAGCGCCCTTGTTTCAAACCCATCTCCAGAGCTTTAGGGTAAACTTTTACACAAGTGCGAGCTTCACAGACAATAGCGAGGCCTGGTGCTGCCGTGAGTGTGGGCTGCCCAGACATGGCTCTTTTCACAATTTTAAACTGAACTTCAGCTGCTGTAGAACCTTCTTAACTCCAAACATTTTTACTTTTTAATCATCAACGAATGCCAGCCTGGCAGCACTGAGAACTGATTGTCATTATTTGTTCAGTAAATCCAGCAGAGGAAGCACAATGCATATTTTGAGTTTTCATAAATAGCAGCAATTATTTTTCTTGTCTATTTCTCAGCAATGGAATGGAAAACAAAACAAACCTTACTGTGCAGTCTTGTTCCCATCACAGCCAATGACAGCACTCCTATTGCCTTCGCTGGGACATGACCAGACCCTTATGTATTCAGGGTCTCATTCAAACCTGAAGGATGTGAATTGGAAACCCAGACCCAGATTTTGGGGTCAGGCTGAGCTGTGCTCAAGCCAGGATTTGAGGAGAGGGGGGAATGGATGGGGCCAAAGGAGCAAAAAGCTGGCGTTAGGCCTTTGCAGCTCTCGAATTTTGGGTCAAGCCGTGTAGGCCTTTTTGGTCCCTGCAGTAAGTTAGCATCAGGGTTACTCTAATGTCTGCCTGGCTGCTCCAGGCACTAAAGTGCTTTTTGACAGCCAGGAATAGTGGGAGAACAGAGGCACTCTGGCCAGGCCACCTTCAATGGCATCTTCCATAAGCTTTGGCTCATGGGGCTCTCTGTGATGCCACAGGGTGAATACTACAAATGCTGGACGTAACACTGGGTAACCCTGATAAAAGACAAGCCATTACTAATGGACACAATTATCACAACACAATATTCTTTCAAGTTGGCCAAAAGACACAAGGCCAAAGCTGACTATTTTTAAGATGTCGCAGAATTGAAATGGCAGAAAATTATTTTTCAGCTCTTTGCATTTATTACAATATATCTTTAACGTCTTTGCATTCAGCGCATCAAAATGAGGTGTTACAATGATTTCCATCAATGCACTAGACAGAGCAAATCCTGTATATAAATAGAAACAGAAATGATGAGCCAAACCAAAAAATAAAATAAAAAATTCCCACAATCCCAAAAGTTGTCAATAAATTTTAGCTTCAATATAACTGATGAGATGCATATATTATCCTCCCCCTCCTACGACCACCCATGTTGAGTGAGATAATCATCAGATTCATGAAAATAAACAATAGTCACCACTGCATAGTCTAGTTTATAATATGTCTATTGTAGCAATAGAGCACATTGTGGTTTGGGTGTCTGTATTTGCACTATGTTAGCAAAAAATATTCTTTCTGTAACAGAAACCACCATTAAACTGAAAGCAGGCAACATTTTTCTTTCACGGAAAGAGTAAGAATTCCTTTAACCATTCTACTTTGTTCTTTATGAATAAATAATCCAATTTAAAGATGTATGCATACAACTGCCTGACCGTCAAAGCAAAATATAGTGTACTTAAAAAAATATTTTAAAATGAAGCAAAATCTTTTGTTGCTAAGAGAACAAGCTTTTGATTTTCCAAACTGTTCTCCCCATGAGCCAATTTAATAAATATTAGCTAAGAGTGAAATATACCTTTGTGTGTTTATACAGCTACAGTCAAACTTTGACAGAGCACAGTGTCCCATAGTGTAGTAGGGTCTTCAAACGGAAATGGTTTAAATCAGCTACTCATCTACACTGCCATTTTGTTTCCAATACTAAAAGGTGATTAAAACTGGATTCACTACTTATTGGCACATCAGCAAATAAACGCTATGGAGCTGCCTTTCAGATGTGTTTCGCTCTGGGTGAGATCAATGGGGACTCCAGCTGCTCAGCTCTGAAAGTCAGGCCCTAAGTACTGCAGGAAGGTAACTGAACTGAGTGCATCTTATCAAGTGGCTGGGAATTTTTTATATCATAAATGCACTACAACAGGCCATTAGCAAAATAAATACGGACAGGCTGTGGCTAATATGTTCATCCAGTAATTCAACAGTTAATGACAGGAGGTAATAAATAATATCTACAAAGAATATTTCGTAGTTTCATACAGCTTAAGGCCAGCAGGGGTCATTAGATCATCCATCCTGACTTCCTGTATATCACAGGCCATTACATTTTACACCCCTGTATTGAGCCTAATAACTTGTATTTGGCTAAAACATATCTTTCAGAAAGGTATCCAGCCTTGATTTCAAGATATCAAGAGATGGAGAAGCCACACCCCACTGTTAAGAAATTGTGGCTTATTTCCAATTTGAATTTGTCTGGGTTCAGTTTCCTGCTGTTGGTTCCTGTTTTCCTTTCTCTGCTAGATTAAAGACCCCTTTAATATCCAGCATTTTCTCCTCCTGATGGTATACCTCTACCCCAATATAACGCGACCCGATATAACACGAATTCGGATATAACGCGGTAACGCAGCGCTCCAGGCGGGCAGGGCTGCGCACTCCGGCGGATCAAAGCAACTTCGATATAACGCGGTTTCACCTATAACACGGTGAGATTTTTTGGCTCCCGAGGACAGCATTATATCGGGGTAGAGGTGTACTCATATGCTGCAATTAAATCACCTCTCAATCTTCTTTTTGCTAAACTAAACAGACTAAGCTCTTTAAGTCTCTCACTCTCAGGCATTTTCTCCAGACCCCGAATCATTTTTGTAACTCTTTTCTGAACCTTCTCCTATTTTTCAACATCTTTTTAAAATGTGGTCATCAAAACCTGTATGAGATATTGTAGCATTGGTCTCATTGAGGCTTTATACAGAGATAAAATCACATCACTACTCCTAATCCCTGGCCTATACAGCCAAGAGTCACATAATATAAATTAAAGTGTGGTTGTACTTAGAGACGTGACTCTCTTAAATTGGCACCCTGAGGCCCACATTGATGGTGTCTCAGGAACTCAATACCAAATTTGTTCAGTTTACAATAAAAAATATATTTGTTTTTGTTTAAAACTGCCAGCCCTGAACACTTGACCTAAGAACTGAAAGTCAAAATGTGTTTTTCCTCCTTGTGCACTCATTCTGACTTAACTACAGCATATATGTACCTGACATGCACCTGTAATATTCTTCTCCTGGGTCAGAGATCCAGTGATGCTGCACAAGAAGGAAAGACATTGGGCACTTGTGTAAATGATTACTCAAGATGCAGGGCAATGTGAATTGGCCCCTTGACTTTAACATCCAAAATGCAGGGCCAGCAGTTAGAAAATCCATATTTTGGGGCACCAATCTATTTCCCACTGCCAGTGACAAAACTTCCATTGAGTTAAATCAGGAACAGGGTCTATCCTTTCCTTTTAAACTGAGCAAATTTGATATGGGAGAAACTGAAATACATTAAACATAGAATCCCATGATGCCATTTTCAGAAAACAATTATGCTTTGGACATACCCCCCAGCCAAATATCTTTAAAAATAAAAAAGATAATCAGTTTACTATTTATCTCCAAGCTCAAATTTTTTGATCATTTGGTATATGGCAGTTGAAGTTACAATTTAAAGCAAAGTACTGCAGTACATTATTTGAAAAATGTTCTCAAGTGATCTGCAATATTGACTCCAATGCACACAGTTAAGATTTAAGGCATTGAAAAGTAAGTAGCATAACAGAGCAGTACCTACAACCAGTGTCTGTGCAAATGAGAAAAGAAGTTTTCAGGTATAGAACTGAAAGTGAAAAGGAAGATTTCATTGATGCCAATGATGGCCAGATGTACTGCAAAGCACACACAACTGAAAAAATGCTGCAAGGTGAAATCATGAGATGCATCCTTAACCAGCAGCAAGTTCACATTTTAGCCATAGAAAATGCTTCACAAAATACTTTTCAGTTCTGACAAATCCCTTGAAGCTGTCAGCTCCGGCAAAGTGCAACTCTGTGCAATCAATGGGTAAAATCTTGACCTTACTGATGACAACAGGAGTTTTGCCATTTACTTCAACAGGGCCAGGATTTCACCCAATGAGTTGAATTCTTCCACTTGTATACTTACACTGTACCTTAATCCAAATGGACTGCTTTTGGAGTAAGGTACTGCTCAAGGTGAGTAGGGATGACAGAATCAGATACAATATTTTTATTTCCCTTACTTTCAATTTACAGTGTGCATTATTTATTTCCCAGAAAAAAAAGCCAATTTAAACCAGCTAAAGTTTTGGCCCAATAACTATTATACAATCCTATGCTTGTTTGGGAGGGGATTACTGTCCGTTCTTTTAAATGAGGGATTTTTAATTTGACAGAGGTCGCAATTTGACATACAAACTGGTGTCAGGGTGTTGAAACCCTGCCCTTCCCATCCTGCTAAATGGAAGGGGGTTCTGGCTAGATGGGAAGATGGTTCATGGCACACATGGTGAGGAAAAGGTTGAGAACCACTGGTGGATTTTTTTAACTAAACCTTATAGTATTTTTAACTGAAAACCAGTATCATTGCACTTGTAATTGATCTTTTTTAATAAGACTGTTGCACATTTTGAGCATGTTGGCTGAGAAGTTGGGAGCACCACTCCCATTCCTAGTCACTGGAAATGTGACTTTAAGCATGGAAACACAGTTCCAAATTTGCTTTTAACAAATGAATACAATGCTCACAATAGCACAGATTCCAGCTGATCTATCCAAGGCAAAAACCAAGCTGTATCTTTTAAATATAAGATAACCAGTCCTTTGAACAAGAGGCTGTAGATGCATTTAAGATGAGGACGGATGAATATCCTGGTTTTCGAAAGGTGGTAGTGGTTCCCTCCAGTACGTGAACTGACTGTAGGTATCAGAACAAGGGAAGTCTGAAGAATGGCTTCTTTTCAGCAAAGGAAACAGGTGATCAACCACCTCACAGAGTCTGACGTAACTGGGGGGAAAAATTACTGTTTAAATCATCTCAGATTCTTTATTTATTTTGATTTAAAAGTAAAGATGCCCAGCCAAGGCTCTAGGCACCCTATTGCACATTACCAATACAATTTAAAGCTCATCTGCATGAAATGATCAGTCCAACCAGCCGGCTTCCACCCCTTCATCGGCATTCATTTTGAGCAGTGATGTTCAAAGGGTTATGTGTCGGAAAGCAGAGTTTACCACCGTTCATTTTGGAAATGGTCAGGCAGTGAAGCCCACATAGAAGAATTATTTATTAAAAAAACAACCATTAAGGCCCAGATTTTCAAAAGTGACTAATAATTTGGGGTTTCTTCTTTTCTGGGTCCCCAACTTGAGACATCCTAAAGAGGCTTCATTTTTTCAAAAGAGCTGAGTACTCACTCTCTGACAATCTGGCTCCTTTCAGGTGTCTCAAGTGGAGAACCCAGGACTGCAGGCACCCAAAATCATTAGTCACCGTTGAAAATTTGGACTAAACTGTTTATGAGGTTTCAGTACCTCAACCCATATTCTTTCCACCTGGCTGTCTCACTGCAGCGTCCTGACATTTATTGTACCATCACGTTGTAACAATCCTTCTACTGTTCCAGGACTGCTCACAAACAGTGACTGTAGCATGATAACTATACACACTATTTCTTTTATTTCCCCCTCTACCTGTGACTCTATAAAATGATTTTTTTAAATGTCTTTGTTACCTGCTGCAAACCATTCTGTGTACCTCTCAGATATAGAGGAGTACTAACCCTCACTCACACTAGTGAGCAGTTACTCACACAAGTAGTGTTACTGAGTCAATGGGAATGCTCTTGTGAATAACTGTCCACCAGTACGAATACAAGGTTCACATTCTGGCTCATTGACACTAAGAGAATTAAAGGGACACACAAATTTAAATCTACATTTGTCTGATTTTTTCCTATCCACTATTGTTACCCGTTTACCCTTAGGGTCCTATAACTGAAAGAGAAAAATATAGTTATTTATATTTTTTCAGGGCCTGATTGTAGAACCCTGCCCATGTGAGTAGTTCTGTTGACTGTAATGGGACGTGTAGTGCATGCAAGTGCTTCCAAAATCAAGCTTTCAGTTTGTTTAAACTCTGGAAAATTCCCATTAACTTCCATTGGACAGGGATTTGTGTATAGCCACTTTTAGCAGTGCCCACTATATAGTTAGTTTCAGCTTTTGTTTGCCTAAGTCTTTCACATAGAAATCCTGAAACTTTAAAGAAAGAATTATTTAAAGATCACAAAAAATGGTGGAGGGAAACTACATTTAACTTATATTTTAAACTGACTGCATTAGAAGTGGACAGCATCCCTGTAAGTGAATAAAATAAACCTTTTTTTTTAAATTGCTGGCTCAGTGAGTATCTTTCTTGTTAGTTCAAATAATGGCAAGTGGAGACTTGGTATCAAAGTAATCAAATGTTATATCAATCCATATATTTCATTTTAAACAGTTAGAGGAAACCTTTGCTAAAACAGAGCCAAATAAATCCTTGGTGTAACTCTCATCGTCAACTGGGTGATGAATTTGGCCCATGAAATATTCAGGACAAATTACTACTTACGATGAGATGTTGGTTTTTGCATGTTCTTGTATAAGTTCTCCTTTGGGATTAACTGTGAATATTCTGTTTAAAGAGACCCCCACTTGCTTGTAGGAATAAACATCCTGGCAAAGAAAGAAAAAACTTAACTTAAAAAAAATTAAACCATACTTCTGCCTTTGCACAATACATTTTATTCTTTATAGAATGTATAGAATATAGATATAGAATATATAGCGCAGAAGAATATATAAAGAATACTGAAGTGCAAAGTATTGGCACTGAATATACGTGTGTTATCCTGCATCTGAAGCTCTCATAGCACGTTACTAACATTAACTAAGCCTAACAAAATCCATAGGAACTAAGGGCTTGTCTACATGGTGCATTAGTGTGCACCAGAGAAGTGTAAATTCTTGTCCTCACCAGCATGTCACACATTTAGTGGCCCATGTGGACCCTGCTAGCATGTACTAAAAGTTCCCTAGCGCATATTAACATAGTGCTGTTTGTAACATGGGTTCCGTTAATGTGCACTAGGGAACTTTTGGTGTATGGCAACAAGATCCAGATGGGCCATTTAGCATGCTACACACTAGTGCAGATTAGAATTTACTCCCCACTGGTGCGCGCTAACGCACTGTGTAGACAAGCTCCAAATGATCATACTATTAGAGGAGATTAAACAGACACAGGGGTACAATTTTCAAAAGTGGCTAAGTAACTTTGGAGTCTAAGTCCCGCTGACTTTCACTTGCCAAATTTTGCCTCGGTTTATACTACAGTAACCACATGTTGCTCACTGTGGTTATGCTGTGTGAATGAGAGCGGAATTTGGACACACATTTCTAACAACCCCAAAGCAAGGCACTGTTTTCAGTGTTTTCAAACAACTTTATAGATTTTAAATACAGTTAGGCGGTCAACCACCTGGGATTGCTGGGACTGCTAACTTATGCAAATACATGTATCTCTACTGCTACCTTACCCTCCATGTTTGTCTCTTTATTCACCTATTGCATATCATCTACATCCTAAACTGTGAAATTGATGAGGGAGAGACTGACTTTACATTATTCATTTTTACAGGGCCTAATAAAATGTGGCCTTAATTCCTATTTGAAGTCTTGAGGCATTACCACAAAAGAAATACTGAATAACAACAACAGCACTTTTGCACTTCATAGTCAAAAATAATCACAGCTATTACTTACGGCAGGTCTGTTTCCAAAGGCAGCATAAAAGGGTTCTGTGTTCGGATGAAACAAATGTTTGATGTCTGTCAGACACTGAACTTTAAATTTTTCTGGCTTCTTTTCTATCACTTCCCTAAAATAAAAAAGGAGGTATTTCATAAGTACATCCACTGTTTTATTTTATGTAATACATTTTATCTAATCAGATTCTAGCATCAAAAACCTCCATGCAACTTCATTTAGAAGCCAGGACTCCTATTAAATGTAAATGTTTGCACAGATAAAGTTCAAAATAAAAACAAGCCTCCTAAAGGGAGCTTTTATTAAAAAACTGTGTGGTAAAGATGTAGCTACTAAACAAGGGTAATGAATTATAGACAGCAGTTTCTAAATAAAGATGTATGGTAAATGTAATGTAATGATATAAACTGCCTTACTGAAAACTGCAGAATGAGTCAATAGATTATAATGGCCTTCCCTTTATATAGCTTCTCTATGCTCTCTCTGGGATTTAAATTTCACCATGTACCAGATCCAAAGGACTACCGTCAATTAAGCTGCTTCTACTGGTGAGGTCATCCATCAATGACAATTAAAGGTAAGTAAAGACAAAGGCATCTTCTAATTCTCTTTAGTGCTTCATTACGGAATAATGAATAGAGGAGCCAGTTCATCTCTGGGCTGCAGCCCTTTCACAACTGCCTCTCTTGCCAAAATGGGACCAAACAGGTGACAGAGTTGTCCCCAAGGGAATTCCCATGACAGAGAGAGAATCCTGCACGGTGCAGAGTTGGTGTAGCTGGCCCTGCACCATTCCCCATAGCAGACTCCAGCCCAGGAGCACACATATGGAATGCTGTCAGGGAAACTCTGAGAATAATTTAAAGTGGTCACATAAGAGGTGAATTTTGTATTGGGTACAAGCTACTACCTAATGATACCTGTGAAAGGCTGAGAACAAGCTGCTTGGACTTAACAACACAGGTCCTTGAGGTAGCACTGTTCCTCGTTCGTTGACCCAGTGCAAATATCCTCTGGTCATGTCTGCCATTCCTATAGCACGTGCCGAGCAATACAGAAATTTGTACCCGTTTCTATTACACAAACAAACCAGGAAGAAATTACTTTAATAATAAAGTGGACATTTTCACAATTGTGATATTTTATTAGGCCATAAGCCATGACTATTAGAGATTCAGATCTTTAACCTCTTTACCCCACAAGAACTCACAAATTATTACTAAGGAGTAAAAACATTACAAGCCAGACAGCAAAAATCTGCACAGCTCCAATAAATTCACTGATTTATACCAGTAGAATAGAATCTATATCAGAGATTTGTATGGCCCCCATGTAAAATCTGGTTGTGTGTATTTGCATCACACCCCTCATCATTTACTGAAATGAGTCCTCTTAAGAAGGGATATTATGCATCCAGCAACAATGTTGGATCAACCTTACTTTAAATGTAACCCATCTGTGGGGCTTTGTGATAGCAAAGGGTTGGTTTTGTATGCCTGATCTCCTTCAAACATGTGTGAGTTTGGAGATAATTTCAGGTTTGGTACTGAAATAGAGGTTTTATCAGAAGTCACAGGATATTCACAGACTACTATTTTCCAGATATCATCTTAGCAGGTTCTAGTGATCGTAAGGCCAGATTCTGATACCCTTAGTCTGGTTTAATAGCACATTACTCCACAAGCCCAGTAATAGGACTGTCCATGAAGTAAAGTACTATTAAATGTGAGTAAGGGCATTAAATTTCACCCTTAGACATTTATATAGGGCCAGTCTGTGATAGCTAGATGCTGTATAATTAATTTAGTAATTTAACAGGAAAACCCAAATTTATGGCCATTAAAGCCCTAATAGCTGCCTACAGTGGTAGACTTAACAATGCTAATTTCTAAAATTAAAAAAAACATTTTCTTCAAAAACAATTATTTTCAAATACAAGTAAGAGTTTATTCATGGAACAAAACACTTTTTGCTATGTGAGCTTTCAGATTGTATTGGTCTTGCTCTGTGTGGCTCGAAAGCTTCTCTCTCTCACCAAGATTGTCCAATGAAAGGTATTGCCTCACCCACACTCTCTCTCTAAGTGACCTTGTATAGTCATTTATACCTATTTAAAGGAAGAGTCAGGCCCAGTGTCTCTGTCATATTTTAGATTACATCATCCATAATTTAGAATACATCACCCATGGAAAACAAAACTAACAAAGTTGAACACAACGCCCTGCTCACGGAACAAATCAAATCAATCAAATGGACCATTGTGCCTTGAATCTGAGGATCGTCACACATTTAAGGGTCATCTGAACATGTATATAATAATAATAATGAAGAATGAAGAAACATAGCAATGCACATAACAAAAATGCCGCCACTAGTAAATGGGAAACAATCAAGTCACCCTTGTTTTTGTAAAAAATACGTTTAAGTCAACATGTGTGTGAATGTTAGCATTCTCCTCGGGAGAGATAGCTCAGTGGTTTGAGCATTGGCCTACTAAACCCAGGGTTGTGAGTTCAATCCTTTAGGGGGAGGAATAGCTCAGTGGTTTGAGCATTAGCCTGCTAAATCCAGGATTGTGAATTCAATCCTTGAGGGGGCCACTTAGGGATCTAGGGCAAAATCAGTACCTGGTCCTGCTAGTGAAGGCAGGGAGCTGGACTCGATGACCTTTCAAGGTCCCTTCCAGTTCTAGGATGTCTCCATTTATTTATTTTTTTATTTTATGATGAAATATCTCCTTCCATCCAATCCCACATCAAAGCATCCTTCTTGCTGTCCAGCACAAATTTAAGCTCTATGTGACATTCCTAAAACTGAATTCCTAATCTTTCCCCACCAAGTCCTTATCCCCATTCCCTGTTTTCTTTATCACCATGGACAAAGCCCACTATCCTCTCAGTCCCTAAGGCTTGGTGTCATCTTTGATTCTCATCTTTGTTGCACACATCCAGGCTGTCTAAATCTTGTCACTTCTTACAGGAGAACATCTCAAAGCTCCAGCCTTTTGTCTTTGCAGGCTGCCAAGCTCTTGTCAAGGCCCTTATCTTGCATTTTGACTACCATAATTTTCTCTGACACTGATGCCATCAACCTTCCCTCCTCCATCAGCTCTTTGCATCCCTCTACAGGTTCTCCCTTCATCACTGCATCAAGCACAAGCTTCTTGTCCTCACTTTTAAGGTCCTTCACCATTTAGCCTGATCCTACTTATCCTGTCCAATTTCCTGTTGTGAGTGTAATTTACCCATTTCTTATATTCACCATTCTTGTAAACAGTTGCTAGGACACCTAGAGCTGTGAACAGGCATCTGGTTTTGCATTTAAATTGAGAGAAATTAACACAAAGAGATTTGCTGAATACTTACTGGCTCACTTTATGGTACAACTTTGCAATCCCTTGGTGCGTCCAATCCTTGCCAAGAGTGGGCAAAATATGGCCTAAAGTATCCGACCTGAATAAAGATGGGGAAAAACAGAGAAAATGCACTGCAAGAAATAACTTCCAAAGAACAGGCAGAAGCAACTTTAAATGTTTTTTTAAGGAAAGGGTGGTACTGATACATGCCCTCCTAAGCATTCATTTGGCTAGCAGGGTGGGCTGATAGTCTTTTGGCTAATGCACTGGCCTGAGATTCAAGAGCTCAGGGTTTCAGTTCAAGATATGGCACAGATCTTCTGTGTGACCTTGGCTAATAGCTTAATCCCTCTGGCCCAGACCGTCAAAGGCATCTCGTGCCCACTGATTTCACTGGGAGTTAGGCACCTACATTCCCTTGAGGATCTGTGCCTCTGGGCCTAAGTTCACCATCTATAAAATGGGGGAAATAGCTTTATGGTTCCAGTGGCATTCCCCATTGTAAGTGTAATTAATTTAGTATTACTGTTTATGCTATGTAGCATACAGAAGCCCCAGCCAAGACAGAGGGCTCCACTGTGAAAGGGATTGCACAGATACAATCAGACAGTCCCTGTCTTGACAAGCTCACAATCCAAAGAGAAAAGACAGAGTGTCCCATGGTGATGGGATGGGAAACAGAGGCACAAAGCGGTGAAGTGACATAGTTTATACCCAATCAGCTCAGTGGCAGATATAGACCCCAGATCCCCTGACTCCTATTCTGGTGTCCTGTCCACTACATCACACTGCCTTGTCCCACTGGATTAGCGCTGGAATTTGTCGTATCTCTAAAACCAGAATGAACATCACTCCGGCGTGCCTCACAGATGTGACGCGACAATGAACTCATTAATGTGTGAGAGGTGCACAGATACTACTGTGATAAGCACCACAGAAAAGCCTGTAAGTAACAAACAGATCAACAGTATGGCACATACCAGCCTTTAACAATCCAGTCAATGTAATAGCAGCCCCCTACATTTCTTGCTTCATTGGAAAAGCAGGTTAAACATGAAAATTCAAAGCCTGAACACGATGGTCCCTTCCCCCAACCCTATGTCAATAACGATTTTTTGAGCCTGAAGGAGATATTACCGCGTAGGTAAAATCTTGCCCCATTAGTCAGCTTACCTTGTGATAGTTCCATCAATGTCAGAAATAATAACCTTGTCATCCCAATTCCATAAGTAGATGGTGCCTTCACAGCGGCACGTGCCTTGATATTGTGTCGTAACACTAAAGATCACATCATTAGGGCCATTCTTGAGCTTTAGACTTTTCTGTGAAACGTTATTAGCAAGATCAAACTGTGCAGGTGAAATGGGCAGAATAGTATAAACACAAATGGGAGGATAATAATTTCCTTAGGCATGTGTTAATCCCCTTCCTGTCATGGGACTATCTACTGAATAATGGAAGCAGAGTTTGGCTGCAAGGGCCATGCTGTGCCCTTGATTCATAAGCTGAATTAAAAGCAATAAGGAGTTCTGCTTTGCAATCAGTGTCACGGTATGGCCTGAAGTGTTCATGGCAGCAAAAAATAGATTTGGCTTCAAGCCCCTGCAAAACTACTGCATCTGAAAAATAAGCCCCGCTGGCTTTGAATATCCCTGCTCTCAATTTGTTACAGAATACGACCAATAAACCAAATCTGTTTCTTAAGGCAAATTCTAGACCTGTTGCCAACTACAGGGAACATTCTCTCATTTAGCCACCTGGGAGTGGTGGGCTGCCTAATGTTGTATTCCATAAGTGTGTTTACTTCTGAAAATTAATTAGCTGCATGTGTGGATGTGAGAAAATGCATTTTCCTAAATAGCCAAATTTTCCAAATCAAATATTAATGCCCTGGGCTTGAACAGCAACAGCTTTATTTATCAGCATTAATCACAACACCTCTGTGCAGAGGAACTGAAGTTAATATGGTCCTGGTCACACTAAATTCATAAACAGCTCTTTTAGAAGCTATCTTGTGTGTGCGCGCACATGTGTGAGGGGGAGAGAGAGAGAAGAGAAATATACACACACGTGTGTGTATGCAAGTGCACATACACACACACAGAGCGCCTAGCCCCTTTAAGCCAGGTAAAAGAGCTGGAGCAGCATAAAGAAGCCTTAAACACTTCCTTTCCAGCTGGTGGAGGACTCTTCTTGTGCACGACAGCCATAAGGCTGTCCTCTGAGGACTCCCTTCAAAACTTGGCGTAGGAGGTATGCTGGGGACAGGAGTGGAGTCAGATGGACGTATCGGGGAAAGGATCATAGCACACATCACTGTGGTGATTCCTAGCAGCACTGCAGGCCATCAAGCAGTTCAGGGAGGCTGCCCTAACTTAGACAGTCCCCCAGCACTGTCTAAATTATTCCCAGGGCCTCTCCAACCCCAAAGGCAGCCCAGATAGGGAGGGTACAAAGGTCCCTCAAAACCACTCACATCCACACCTGGGCTGCCAGTTCTGTGCCACGCCTCCTAGAGGCACAGTACAGAATTTCATCCATGACACATGACATACACAGACTCCTGACAGGTGCAATGGGAACTGTTGGGTGCTAAGCACTTTCGAAAACCAGGTCCCTTACTTAGGTGTTTTAACGCAGACTTCAGAGTTTAACTGTAGGCTGCCATTTTGGAAGACCTCAGTCTCCTGATTTGTCAATACAACACCTTTTCCATTAAGCATGAGATTTACTTCAAACATTAAGACATTTTTTTAAATTTCATAAGGCCTAGTAGTCAGTACAAATACTAAGAGTTCATTAACCCTGTGCTAGCCTGAATAACTGCATTGTGCTAGAAATGATATTTCAGAAGGAATATGTAAAAACAACTCACAAGCTGGTCAGAAGTGAGTCGAAGGGTCTTTTTGTAACTGATTCCTGACAACAATGAGAGATGACTTGAATTTGTTTGTAATGACCCAATGTTTGGTTTTGCAGCTCTCGGGTCTTCATCACTTGAAGAAGATTCATCCTTTAGTCTGGAACATCACACACAGAGAAAATGATGCTATCATCTCTCAGTAAATGCATTTGGGTATCCATTAAAAATACATTAGCACTGACTCACTGAATAAGTCAATTGATTCTCTGCTTCTAAGTACTGTCTCTTGGGAGGTTATTTACAACATGACTTTAGAAATATATCAATGAAGTGCTGAATTCTCATTCACAGTGCATGTCTTCCATTATTCATATTTGGGTTCTTCAAGTCATTCACTTGTCTATATGCTAGTATTGTCACTTTAAGTTAACAGACTTAAATTACAGTCCATGTTGACTCATTTAAAACTCAAACAATGTATAAAATCTGTTAGCTAATGTGAGCAACTACAAAGGAGTTTCATTCTAAGGAAATAAAAGAGGAAAGAAAATAATTTATTTAATCTATGAAGAGTTCAGCAATTAGAGAATAAACCCAGAACATGACTAATGCAACTTTCTAATGGAAAATAACCTGCACCATACATTCTTTGTGAAAGCAGCAATTTTTGTCAATGGGATTATATTTTTACTGACAACTTTGGCAGGATTGCCCTACTCAAAACGTTAAAATGAAATGCCACCAACTTTTTGTTCCTGTGCAGGATATTAGTTTAAGTATACATCATTATAAAACTATTTTTCCTACCACAATTGTTTTTAAAAACCTGTCAAGGAAAATTTTTCACAGAAGAAAGAATTTTCATGGTAAACAGAACTGTCATATTAGGTGGTAGCTTCAAATATTCTTAACATACTGCCAATGTGATCTTTAATATATCACCGTTCACATTCTTTTCCATCACAGCTGGGTTCTGCATGTTGTTGGGAAGTCCTGACCCTGGTGTCATAAATACTGCCTGTTGAGATTGGCAGCATTTAAAGCTATAGCCTGCCTGACTCTGTGGTTGCTATATCTGGCCTAAAAACTGCTTGCTACTCAATATTCTATTAACCATAGAATGGTTTTCAGCAACAAACACTTCCTGATCGGTTTCTGAAGTCAGTTAAAACTCAAACACGAAACAGTAATTAAGGAGTGAAGTCTGATTGAAATTCCAATACTGTTTTAAGGCTGGGTCTTTAAACAAACAAGTAAGGGACAACAGAACCAAACATCACTGATGAGGAACGTGTCCTCTCAGATCCACTCATGGATCTTGTGGATTTGGGATAATGTATGTTATTGAGGCAGCAGTTTATGTGCCACACATTTAACCTGCCAGTATCTGGTCTCCAAAACAAAAGGTGGCTCCCAGTGCTTAATTTGTAATGAAAGAGGTGCTGGGGCTCAAGCAATTTTTTTACATTCATAACTGATGCAGCAAAGGTGCCAGGGCTGTGAACTGCCAAGCCTAGAGGTGCTGGGGCTGTGAACTGCCAAGCCTAGAGGTGCCGGGGCTCTGCCCTGGCAAGCCCTGGCACAAATTAAGCACTGGTGGCTCCTCATTCCAGCTAGTTCTCCTGGATTGCAATGTCAGCCTCAAGTTAATTTAGCATGTGTAAGCTAGAACTGAATTTGGGTCTTACTGCCCTCTCTCCAGCTCTTGCAGATCTGAGTGAGGACAGCACGGAAGTGGGCACTGCTGTGTCCATGGTAAGCCACTCGGTTGCACCTCCATGGGATTTGGGCTGTTCAAAAAGGAGACCAGGCAGGAGACAGCTACTCTCTGTTACTTCATCCCCATGGGACTTCAGCAGGTAACTTAATGCTGGCCCAGCAGAATCCTCCCTAAGTGGAGATTCTGGGACCAGCAAGGGATACTACAAGAGCTGCCTAAATTAAGAGGATCTGCTGACTTTGAAACCCCTTCTTCTGCTTCTCCTTGGAAGGTGTAATAGAAAGCTGTGGAATTTCCTGTCCCCTTCATGGGAGAGATGGTATAAGAATCCCTCTGAAAGGAACGACTTATGCTCCTGAGCCTTCTCAGGTATATAGAAGCAAACAGGGAGATGTCAGACTGTGCAAGTTTTCATAAATTAAGGGATATTACAAGGATCTGGGACATTTTGACTTCAGTGGGGTGCAAAAAGCTTTGGAAGATCATCCGCCCGATTATTACTTATTTGTAGGTGCTTCTAAACTTCCTGCATCTGGCTAGGATTGAAAACAGAAGGGCTAACAAATAAG